ATTGTAACGATAGATACAGACAAATCGTACAGCTACTCAGCTCAAAGGTGGGAGTTGCGCCAAGAAGAGTTATGCCGAAGCGCCGAGATTAGCGTGGGACAAAACTTTTGTGAGGCACCTCCGTACCTGGGGCCAAGTGCACGCTAGGCGGCGGCTGTCGGGCGAGCCCAGGCCTCGTCGTCACACTCACATGCCGCCATTCCAAGGCGGAGGTCCATGAGTACGACATGGGGGCCAGCTGTGGCTGGGCGTCGGCTGCCCAATTTCTGCTGCATATATACGATCTTCTTGTTGTTCGAGCACTGCTGCATGATCCCCCCCGGCCTCTCCCACTCTCCGGCTCCCTCTTTTGTGCGGCTACAGAGCGCCTTTGGCCGTGGTACCAGTACGCTCTGCTCTGTTCGCGTCCTCGATCACCATCGCACAACCCCACGGTGATCGGCTTTCCCCACGAATCACATTGCGATCGCAATCGAAGCTTCTCGCTCACCGAGCCTCGTCGCTCCCAGCAGACTCTCGCGCGAGCACCCACAACCCGGCGCCATGTGTCTTGTCAAAGTCAAACAGGAAGAGGACTATGTAGTCCCGTACCGCGTCGTGCAGCGCCACCGCTCTCCGTCTCGTCGCCGTGTATCGCGCCATTCGCGCGACATTGAGCGCCGCTACTCGCGCGCAGAGGTAGTGCACGAATCCCCACGGCCCTCAGCATCCTACGTGGCGGTGCCGTCGCCAAAACCTCTCCAGATTCCGGCACCGCAGCCAGCGCCTGTGTTTGTGCAGCCTCCTCCGCCTCCGCCTGCGCCCATGCCTGCTCCTCCCCCGCCGCCAAGCCATGTCTCGTCTCACCATACCTCGTACCACGGCGGCGGCGGCGGCGCGCACTACGTCGAGGTCTCTCCGCACTCTAGCATCAGCTCCCGCTCGTCTAGTCTCGGCCGCAGTGAATATGTCTACAGGGAGCACGAGGTCCGGCGCGAGCGCCAACGCGCCTACAGCCCCGACAGCCCTCGCTACGAGCACTACCGATACGTCGAGCCGGCGTCGAGCGAGAGCGACCACTTTGAGCGCTACCAGAGGAGAGACCGCAGCAGGCCGCGCAGCCGCAGTCGGTCTGGCTACGACGACGCACGCGGAGGAGGCTACAGAGAGACCAACACAAGGGTGTCGGTCAGGGACACGGACGGGGGCCGGAGGGCCAACTACGGCCGGTGATCACCGGTACCTTGGCAGGGCCTTTGGAAAGAAAGCTATCATGTTTGTATATGACGTCGGGTACTGAGCGCGTCTCTCTATGCTTTTGTAGCCGCGGTTTGCGGCGTCTTTGCGGATTCTTTACGTGTATAGCCTCTGTAACGTGTAATGACATGCGCGAGTTGGTTGCAACGCTGAGTGGCTGTGAGGTCATGGCTTGGGCGGTTCCTGGACGACAGCTGTAGACGCGCGACCGTCGTCACGCCGCCACACTTATGTCAGAGTCGAGTATCTGGCCCAAATATGCTCTTGTGGTAGATGCACTTCCGAGTGCCGGTGCAAGCGGTGTTTAGGGAAGCCTTGGGCACCAGCGGAGCGGTTTCGCATCCAGCGGCGCAACCAACATTCATACCAACATTATTCGTCCAACACGTTGCCGTGCCACGACTGCCAATCTTCCCGCGCAAGCCTCACCCAAACTGCACGGAGAAGCGGGACATGACTGCAGCGCCCGCCGAGCCGTTTGTCGCACTCGCCTACCCCCGACAATGTCCATCCGCGTCCTAATCAAAGACTACCCGCACCGCGCAATCGCCCTCGCTACCTCGACCCACGCCCTCGTCCTCCGACACAGCTCGTCCACCACCGAGCACAATGGGAACCCAAACGCCTCGTCGACGTCGCTGGGAAGCAATGGTGCCGGCGTCGCGCGCTGCATGGTCGAGTTTACACGCCTGGACGAAATCGACCTGGACGACTACCGTGCCATAAACTCGGTCAATGTGTACGGGACGCTTGGGCTCATTACCGTAAACAACGACGTCTTCCTGGTCGTGGTCAACAGCGCAAGCAAGGTTGCGACCGTACGGCCTGGCGAGACGGTGCAAAGGATCAACTCGGTCGGCTTCTATTGCTTGACCAGCACGACCTACGACACGCTGCTCAACGACGAAGTCAATCCATACCCCACAGACACGATAGACGATGAAGGATACGAAATGGGCTTTGGGGGGCGGAAGGAGCAGTCCCCAATGGAACACCCGTGTCTGGCACTCAAGAAGATTCTCAGCAGCGGCACATTTTACTACAGCTCAGACTTTGATCTCACCAGGCGGGTGCAGGATCGTACGACCGACGCTGCTACCGTATCCATCGACAGCCTGGATGCTGGGTTCCTGTGGAATTCATACATGATACAACCCCTGGTCGACTTCAGGAGTAGGCTTGCGCCTAGGGACAAGGAGGCGCTGGACGCATCGGGAATCCTGACATCTGCGATTCGGGGTTTCGCGCTGACGATTACGGTTCCCAAGGCCTCGGCGCCCATCAGAGTCCAGGACTCAGGCATACCGTCTTCCATGACCCTTATTTCCAGACTGTCGTGCAAAAGGGCTGGGACCAGGTTCAACTCGCGAGGCATCGACGACGATGGAAACGTTGCCAACTTTGTTGAGACGGAAACAATCTACTGGGCCCCATCAGGAGCGTGCTTCTCGTACGTACAGGTGCGAGGAAGTGTACCCATCTTTTGGGAGCAACAGGCTGGCATTTTGCCTGGACAGCAGAAGATTACCATTACGCGATCTCCAGAAGCCACCCAACCAGCTTTTGATAAGCACTTTGACAACTTGGAGCTGAGCTACGGTACAATACACGTGGTCAATCTGCTGAGTAACGAAAAGCAAAATGAGCTGGAGTTGTCACATAGATATCGTGGCCACATTCGAAGCAGCCCGTTGAACCACGGAGGTGACTCTGCTGAACGTCAACACGATCTCATCAAGCTCACAGAATACGATTTTCATGCCGAGACACGCGGACCAGGCGGCTATGAGATGGCTAGCATGATTGCGCAATGGATCCATGATTCCGCAGAAAGCTTTGGATATTACCTGTCCGAAGAGGTCGAAGAGAAGACTCGGCACAACGGACAAGACTATCTTGTTCGTCGGTCAATGACCATACTACAGCAAGAAGGAATCTTTCGAACAAACTGCCTCGACTGTCTCGATCGGACGAATCTCGTGCAAACCATCATCAGCAAGATGGCCTTGGAGCTATTTCTGAGCCACAAGGGCCTTCGAGGCACGCAAGACTTCTGGGCTAGGCACTCGAGTATGTGGGCGGATAACGGTGATGCGCTTTCCAAGATATACGCAGGCACTGGAGCGCTAAAATCCTCATTTACGCGATCGGGAAAGATGTCGTTGGCAGGTGCTCTCGCAGATGCTCGGAAAAGCGCTACGCGAATGTACATTAACAACTTTGCGGACAAGGGCCGACAGAACACGATCGACATGCTTCTTGGTCGACTTATTGGTCAAGTCCCGGTACACCTGTACGATCCCATCAACGACTTTGTTGTCGCAGAGCTCGCAAGGCGGTCTACAGAATATTCAGAAACCGAGATGATCAACATCCTGGTTGGCACGTTCAATTTGAACGGAAAGACGGACGGCATCAGGAGTGATCTCTCGCCGTGGCTATGTCCAGACGTCGATGCTTCACAGCAGTGTCCTGAGATAGTGGCCGTGGGGTTCCAGGAAATCGTCGAGTTGAGTCCACAGCAAATCATGTCTACAGACCCAGACCGGCGCGTAGCGTGGGAAGAAGCTGTGAGGGCGTGTCTAAACCGGAATTCTGAAAAACATGGCAAGGATGAGTATGTCATGCTCAGAGGCGGGCAGCTGGTCGGAGCGAGCTTGTCCGTCTTTGTTCGGTCAGACTGTTTGAAGCACATCAAAAATGTTGAGGGTGCTTTGAAAAAGGTACGAAACACGTGCAGCCGTTGATACAACTACTGACCGTCCTCTTAGACCGGCATGTCTGGTATGGCTGGCAACAAGGGCGCGGTGGCGATCCGTTTCGAGTATGCCAATACCTCGATCTGCCTTGTCACTGCACATCTTGCAGCTGGGTTCGCCAACTACGAAGAACGAAACCGCGACTACAAGACCATCAGCCACGGTCTGCGATTTCAGCGAAACCGGGCAATCGAAGACCATGACACCGTGATATGGCTCGGCGATTTCAACTACCGGATTGGCCTGAGCAACGAAAAGGTGCAAAAGCTGTGTTATGTCGGCGACCTTGAGACTTTGTACGAAAACGACCAGGTAGGTTTACAGGTTCTATTGGAGTAATGAGTGCTGACATGCATTAGCTCAATCTGCAGATGGTTGCAGGGTTAACCTTTCCCTACTACTCCGAGGCTCGCATCACCTTCCCACCTACATACAAGTATGACCTCAACACTGATCGGTATGACACGTCGGAAAAAGCGCGCATACCGGCGTGGTGCGATCGAGTCCTACGCAAGGGTGACAACATCCGCCAGATACACTACAGTGATGCGCCGCTCAAGTTCTCCGATCACCGACCAGTGTATGCCACATTTCAAGTTCTGGTGCAGAGAGTAGACGAAAAGAAGAAAGAGGCCTTGAAAGAGGCTCTGTATAAACAAAGAAGAGAAGTTGTTGGCGACACCAGGGCAGCTGGCCGTCTAGGCGAAGATGAAACCGACGATGAAGATTTGCTTGGATATGACAGCATAGAGCCAGGACTACCGCCTGCAAGCTCAGATCGGAGGAAATGGTGGCTTGACAACGGTACTTATCTTTTCGTTCCTGCTGTAGCCTGGATGCTCATTTTCCAAAGGTCTCCCAGCTAAAGCGCGCGTCCAACCGCCGTCCAACGACGTTGTTCCCAATCCGAACCGGCCCAGCAACCCCTTTACCCCTAGCTCTGAACCAGAATGGGTGAACGTCAAACAAGCACAGGCTGGCCGAAGACCGGAGCCACCACCAGCGCGTGGTTCGCAAAGAGCACGCACTGTCGATTTTGGCGCCACGGGCTCGTCGACAAGCTTACCAGGAACGCAGAAGCCAATGGCCCGTAAGATGATTGCACCACCGTATCCAGGCCATGCACAACAAATCGTCAGCTCAGACGGGTCACGAGACTCGTCAACTGAACTCCGGCGTGCTGGGTCAAGCGCCTCGACTCACTCTCTGCCTAGTTTGCCATACCGCGCTTCCAACACCTTAGCACAAGGCCAGCCTTCCAGCAGCAGTAACAGAACGCAGGTCCTCCGCAAGCCGGCACCACCCCCGATCCCAAACAAGAAACCCGCTCTCCTCACAAAAACATCGTCTCCGCGTACATCTCCGGCCCCGCCGCTTCAAAGATACCGCGACGATCCATCCATGGAGGAATCGAGAGCGCAACCCCCACCACCAGCGAAACGTTCCATGGCTCCTCCCCCTAATCTGACGCGGAAACCAGTGCAGAATCTGATTGACGCCGATGATGATTTTCACAAGCCAGCTTTGCCTCCGCGCACAAATACCAATGGAGGTGCACGTAGTGGTGGTGGTGGCGGTGGACGCAGCTTGATGGATGATGAGCCGGACGACATGCAGAATATGAGAGACTGGGAGGTGCTCAGGCCTGGGCGATGAAGGAAGCTGGGGCGGTGGAGTAGAGAAGGATAATTGAAATGAAATACCAGTTTGAAAAATCAAGCCAGCGTTGAACTCGACATAACACAGACAATCTACAGTGCAAGATGCCCTCAAGCTGGCAGGATTTGTGGGAACGAAGGGTCCCCATGTATGGCGAAGTGGCTACGCGGTGCATAAGCGCCACCAGCCACCAGCCACAGCCACCGAAGTGGAAGCATGGGACGGCGTCATTAGGCGGATGCGGGTGTGTAGCGGGTGCCACTCAGGTACAGAAAGCTGCTCGCATGCGCCCGCCGACGGTGGGGATGATGGGCGTCTCGGGGTTGTTGTCATATCGCAGGAAGAGCTCCTCGTCGGGGCGGCCCTGCTTGCGCCCGTCCATGGCTGGATGAATATGCGATTGTGTGGATTTGCAGCGCTGGATCCTGGATCGCCGGCGATGGCAGGAGTAGGCTTCTTCGCTGGCTACGGGCGCGGGCCGTGTGACGTGCGCAGGAAGCGGTACGGGGGGCAGGCAGAGGGAGTGCCTGTACGCCTGGTGATGGCGGCGGTGGTGGTGGCGGGGTAGTGGCTAGTGGCGTGTGGCTTGTGTCTGAAACCTGAAGTGACGCTGCGACGCGAGTGAGATGCATCAGCAGTTGCACGCAACCCACTGGACCAGGCAAGTTTTATAGGAGACGGACGGAGACGACGGCAGACACGCGCCCCCCCTTCTGCCTGTGCCCTACGCGATGCTGCTGACTTACGTCGCCTGTCCCCCCCCCCATAGCCTTGCGCTTCCCGCGAGTTGGGCTGCGGCGGGTCGTCCTATAGAGACCCCCCCGGGGGCTTGGGAGGCGGCTCGAGCCTGTCATTGGGCGGCTCGAGCATTTACGCGCTGCGGCCGGATTGGAGACCGCTGGTCACACTTGGCCCCCTGAGGATACAGAAGGGGCGCGATGGCAAGAGCCCGCCCCCGCGAACAGACTCGGCCGGCAGCTCAAGCCAGCCTGCCTTTTCGCGCCCGCCCCCTATGCCGTCATTCCCTGCCCCGCCCTCGAGTCCGCCCACTGCTCCCCTGCCCTACCCCGACAACGACCGGCCGCCCAACGTCCTGGGCACAGGGCGATATACGCCGCTCAGCGAGAGGGAGCAACGGAGCGCCAACAGGACACCTGAGGGAAGAGAGCAACCGAGGAGGGGGTCGAATGCGACAGGGCCGAGTCCCACCTCGCCCGGCCAGCGCGCTCGCTTTGATGCCAACGACCCAAACAGGCCGACGCTCAGTGGCTACGGCGGCAGACACGCCGACGGGACAGTCCAGCCTTCGAGGCTGGCGGAGCGAAGAGGCACTGCGCCAAAGCCCCTACCGGATTCCCCGGGGCCAGAGACGCCCGACAAGGAGGGTCTCTTCCAAAAGGCACCGCAGAGGAAGGGCAGCGCAGATGTGGCCGCCCATAACCCATATCCCGAATACCACCAGCAGTACTTTCCTCCCCCAAGCGGACAATCGTCCAGCCAAGCCAGCCAGAACAATGTCGTATACACAGGCCCCAACCAGGACGAGCCTGCGCTCAAGGTTCCCACACCCGTGGGCGTCAATCGCCTGAGCTCTACGGCTTCAACCTCGACAGTAAGGGCGCAGCGCGGCTCTCCTCCGCCCCCAGAGACACCCATTCTTCCTCCCTCTGGTGGGGGCATTGAAGCGCGCTTTGCTGCGGCCGGCATCGCCGGAACTTCGACACTGACAAATCTCCAAGCGCAGAGTGCTCAGAATGCTGCGGCTGCTCAGCGAAACCAAGTCTATGCAAACCAACAGCCCCGCCTCACCCTTGGAACATCACAGTCCAGCCAGCAGCAGCCTCCAAGAAGGCCATGGACTCCCACCGAGCACCCGGGCAACATGCCGCATGGCCCGCCAGCAGTATACCAAGGCATGGACCAAATGCCTTCTTCAGGCACCCCTCCTCAAGGCCCTCTTCCGCAAGCGCCAAACACACGCTTCTCGCCTCCTCCTGCAAATGCAGCGCAGACAAATGCACACCCGGAGCATTCGTTGAACCATGATATGGGTCGTATGAACTTGAACGAGGAGCCACCGCCGGCCTACTCGAGTATAACAACACCAGCGGCTGGTCAGACCCAGAGCTATCCTAATGAGAAAGGACAACAGCCGGCTGTTCAAGGAGTGGCGCTGTCTGACCCCAATCAGGGCCACCCTGCATTTGCAAACGATGCGCGCCCGCAGGCTGGGCCATCGCAACCTGCTGCTGTGGTGGCACCGACGCCCACACAGAATCAGTTTCCGCCACAGATACAAACAGCTCAAACGGCGCAGCCAGCTCACACTCCAAGCCCAGCTCCAGCCCAAGGGCCAGGGCCAGGGCCAGCATCTCCCCCACCGCTGCCTGAGGGCTGGATAGCACACCTGGACCCCAACTCTGGCCAGTATTACTACATCCATCTTCCCACACAATCCACGCAATGGGAGTTCCCCAAGGGGCCTACGCCTCTCAACCTGAACGAGCCCATGTCGCCTACAGGCACATTTGTTGGTGGCCCTTTGGCATCCCCGTCTTTTGGCAAAACTCCCATGGCGTCACCCGGCTTTGCTCCCCAGACAGCTACATTCCCTGGAGACTTTGGCATGGCTCCTCTTGCAACTCCAACCACTACAGGCTTCACGGGTCCACCTCCTATGGCAGGCGTGGATCAATACAAGGTCGCTCCTACCAATGGTGTATACTTTGGACCGTATCTTCGATACACAAACATGGATATTGAACGGGGTCTGTGGCTGGGATCGATTCTTCTCATCACCAATACCCCTCATCCGCCCACGATCCACATTCACCAAAGTACAGATCTATCACCAAACCCACGCCAGCTCAAGGCCAATCCCATTTACACACATCAGACATGGATCTTCTATCGATACGATATTGATTTGAAGATGGAGGACGACCGTCCAGCCAAGTGGACCTACGCCATCACTTCCCACTTGGGATGTACTCGGTTCGAGTTCCTGGTGGCGGGGCGGCACGAGACGAGTTGGCGCTTCATTGCTCACTCTGGTAACGACTTTGCGCTCAATGTCAACGCCAACGAAAGAGCCAAGCTCGGTGGTGTGGGCTTGATGTGGAAGGATATTCTGCAGAAGAACGCCGAATGCGGCGGCTTCCACGTACAACTGGGTCTGGGTGGTCAGATCTATGCTGATCGTCTGTGGAAAGAACTTCCGCTGCTGAAGCAATGGACAGCAACAAGTGGCAAAGAGGTTCGAAAGAACGCTCAATGGACTGCAAAGCACGAAGAGGATGTTTGCCATGCATACTTCCACTATTACACCAGCCACTTTGATCAGCCACATCTCAGGGAGGCCTTTGCGCAAATACCCCACATTCTGGCGCTCGATGACCACGACATGTAAGCTTTTGTGGTATTGTTTCGGAGGACTAGACGCTAACAGCATGCAGCTTTGACGGCTTTGGGTCATATCCCGAATACATGCAGTTCTCCAACATGTTCAAGAACATTGGAAGATTGGGTATCGAGATGTACCTGCTCTTCCAGCACCACACAACGCTGGAGATACTTCGCAATGTCAACAACGACATGGACCTCTTCACGATTACGGGTACAGGCTGGCACTTTATCAAGTATCTAGGTCCTTGTGTCACGGTAGTCGGGCCCGACTGCCGGTCCGAACGTAACCCGCACCAAGTCATGGCGGGACCGACGTATCAGGGCATCTTCCCCAAGGTTGCAACACTGCCACCCAGCGTGCAGCATTGCATCTGGATGATTCCTGTTCCGATTGTGTATCCTCGGCTTGAGTCTGTGGAGCATCTCGCCCACTCGATGGCTACGGGCAAGAAGGCCGTTACCGGCACTTTCAACATGCTTGGAAAGGTGACGGCCGGTGTTGCTGGCGTTGTCGGTGCCAAGGGCGTTGTCGGCGATGGGTTCAACTCGGTCAAGAAGGCGATTGGCAAGTCTGGACTGATGAGTGGTGTCTTGAGTCCTTTTGGAGAGATTGATCTGCTGGATGAGCTGAGAGATCAGTGGACGCATGATTCAAAGGTTAGTCATGTTGACGCAACTCCAAACCGTATACTAACAGATGGCAGGACCTTGAGCGGACGTATCTGATTCGAACACTACAAGGCATCGCGCACAACAAGTCGTTACGAATGACGTTCTTTTCTGGTGGCGTCGACTGTTGTGGTGCTGGACTGGTGCATGATCCGTCAAGACCGCAGGACCACAAGACCATGTACCAGATCATCTCGTCTTCAGTGGTGAATGCTCCGCCCAGCAACTACGTCCTGCGGTTGCTGCACAACAACCGTGCGCTGTATGTGCCAACAAACGGACATCGCAGCAACAACCAGCCTTCGGACACCAAGGAAGACATGATGGAGATTTTCACCCAAGACGTCAACGGGCAGCCGCGCGAGTACAAGAGGCTCATGGGCCGTCGCAACTATGTAGCGTGTGTGATATACGATCCGGACGTGGTCAACGGCACGTTTGGGCAGGTTGTGCCCGGTCATGGCGGGGGCAAGCTGAGCTTGGCGGTAGACTTTATGGTGCAGAACGATGGCGGGTACAGTGCGCCGATGAAGTACGGGCCGGTGATTGTACCCAGCGTGGAGTATGGTAGATAGACAGCCGGCTGGTGGGGATGTACTTGTTTCGCTTCTTTGTTGTATTAGCAGTTGGGCATGCATAGCAAGCGTTGTTTTATGTATGCTTTTGGGCTTTTTTTTGGTGGTGTTTGGGAAATTCATTTTTGTGGGTGTCTTTTTTTTTGAAATAGAAAAATGATAGTAAATTGCATGCTGAGCGAAAGTTGGTCGTGCTAGTAGATGAGGAACATGATGATGATAATGCGAGGTGCAAGATGCAAGATGCAAGTTGTCTGCGGGCAATGGGAATAGTATGCCGAATTGGGCAAAATGCGTGCGTGCATGGTGGGCAGGGCTTGGCTGTCCGCGGGCGCGGGCGCAGGCTTTCCAATTTCTCGACGGCCAAAGGCAAATGGCGTTAGCTACATTACAACACCGGCACACACACACACACACACACACACACACACACACACACATACACACACACACACATACACACAATGGCAGCTCGCCCGATGCAAGCGGCAGGACTACCGCGATTCCTTTTGCCGCGGGCACCATGGAGTGGACTCAGGGCGCCGGCGGTAGCGTTTCAGGCGGGAGTAGAAGCACGGCGTCATGGAAGTGTGTGGCCAGGCTCGGATCGTCGTCGTCGCCGCATCGCACCGTCTTCGCACGCCGCTCTCCAAACACAAGCAATACGACGACCATGGCGGGCGGCGGAGTTGCCACAATGGGCAGGCCGTGGGGATTCGTGTGATTATGCGGTGGGCAGGCAGTTTCAGCGCGGCTTCAGGACAACGGCTAGGCAGGCCAAGGACCACCATTTTGATACACTCAAGTTTGTGCAGCGGCTGAAAGAGGAGGGCTTCACCGAGGAGCAGGCCGAGGGCATGATGCGGGTTCTCAGCGATGTGATTGAGGAGAGGTTAGTTTTTTTTGGGGGGGGGGGGTTATTTTTCTGGCTGGCAGGCATGCATGGATAGGGCAGCGGCTGACTGATGGAATGATGCAGCATTCAGAATCTCACTCGCACCATGGTGCTGCGCGAGGACCAGGAAAAGGCTACGTACACGCAAAAGGTGGACTTTGCAAAGCTGCGCTCCGAACTCATGACGGCCGACTCGACGGAATCGAGCGTGACGCGGGCGTCGCATGAGCGGCTCACGAACGAGCTGGCCAAGCTGAACTCGCGGCTGCGCGACGAGATCCAGCGCACGCAGGCGTCTGTCCGGCTGGACCTGAACCTGGAGAAGGGGCGGATCCGCGAGGAGGCCAACGTGCAGGAGCTCAAGCTCAAGGAGACGGACACGCGCATCGAGCAGGAGACGGCCCAGTTGCGCGAGCGGCTCGAGGCCGTCAAGTTCTCGACGTTGCAATGGCTCATGGGCGTGTGCACGGGCACGGCAGCGCTGATGCTGGGCGTGTGGCGACTGTTGATGTGAGGGCTGCCAGAAGGCGCAGAGAAGGGAGAAGGTAGTGCGCGCGCCCGGCTAGACGGGGGCGACGACCAAGAGGCCGGTCAGCAGTCTGGTCTGGGTCCTCGACGACGACGACGACGACACGAGTCGCTTTTCAGGAGAGGACGAGGGCTGCACGGCCTTGTCCTTGCACGCACACACACACACACACACTCACTCACGCACACACAGAGTGCCACCGTGGGTGCATGCACATGGTGCGTATGTATGTGTGTGTGTATGCTTGCTGGGACGGGCAAAGGGGGGCTCTACTAGTAGCGGGCCGCGACGGCACACCTGGGACCGCGCGGACCAGCGGTGGCGGCCTTTTTGGGTAGTGGCATTAGCAAGCTATGGATATGCACATGTGGCACCTGCAGCACGACCACGACGGTGTGGCGGGCCATGACTCTGGAGGGCTGTGGGACGGCGGGTGCAGCCAGCGTGGAGGGCGGCCGCAACTGAGGGCTGTGGATGTATCTGTAGACGTCTGGACGATGCATGTCGCAAGTCGACGCCGTGTACATGGGCGTAGTGTAGTGTACATGGCCGACGCCTAGTAGTAAGCTGGCGCTGGTAAGCACTTGGGCGCAGTTCACGTCGACACGACTCGTGGCGCGCAACAGCTGCCGTCCAAGTTTTCTAGCGGTTTCCAGCGCGCCCTGATTGGCGCCCCACTTTCCACTACATGGCCACGGCACCGCGCCAGCAGCGACGCGGCCTCGCTCGCCGCCTGCCGTCGCCCAGCTGCACCACACAGCGCTGCACCGCCTGCATCTCCGCCGGCGATGCGTAGATAGAGTACCGAGCGATACATGCGAGGTACATGGCAGCTCCGTCGACAGGTACACACACACACACACATGCGGGCTCGGTGCCGGGGCCGGGGCCGGGGCCGGTGAGGTGAGGTGAGGCGAGGCGCTGCGCTGCGCTGCGCTGTGCGGTGCGGTGCGGTGGTGCTCACGTGCCCCCCCCCTTCGCAGTACCCCTCATTGCCAGCTCGTTTGGTCGCCAGTGGGTGTGCAAAGGGGAGGGCGGGCACAAGGCAGCAGTCGCCGCCTCGGACTGACAAACAGCAGCAGCAACAGCAGCAGCAACAGCAACAGCAGCAGCAACAGCAGTCGCAGTCGCCCCAGCGGCTATTAGCAGCAGCAGCAGCGCGCGGATAGGGGGCGGGGGCAAGCCATGCCAGGTGAATGACTGAACAGCTCGTCCACGCGCCCCCATTGGGGGAAGGCGCACACGACGGGGTGGTGTTGTTCGTTGGACGCACGGCCCCTCGAGCGCCTCTTAGGGCAGACGCAGACGCTCGCTTCCTCAAAACAACTTCGACCCTCTTCTGCTCGTTGGTCCACACAAACACCTCAACAACTCCATCCCGCCCACCGTCTATCCTTCCGTAACGCATCTGCACCCACCCCACCTCCCGACAGACACACCACACTTACACATCCTCGCCCGACACCACCGCAGCAACTCAACCACAATGGCGACTGAGGTATGTTCTTGCGTGATTCGCCTCCCCTCCGCCCCCCCCATTGCCTTGCCCACTCCCCGCCGCCGCTGTCCAAACTCCCCCGGCGGCATGCCCCTCTGCGCACCACGCAACCCCCCCCCCCCGATAGCACCCTACGCTGCCAACGCTTGCTAACTCGATGGTCCCCCAACAGCGTGAGAGGTACGGCAGTCGTGTCCTGGCTTGCAAAAAGGCCCCCGCGGTGCACTGAAATTGACGTCGCAACAGCAAGACTTTCCTCGCCCGGCTGTGCGAACAGGCTGAGCGCTACGATGGTAGGTCCCCCCCTCCCTCCCGCGCCGCCCTTTGGCTCGTCGGCCGAAGCCTGCGCAATGCTGACCAAGTGTGTGTTTTTCTGCAGAGATGGTTACGTACATGAAGGTCAGTCGATAAGCCACTTGTCACCCGCTCCGACTCACATGCTGATGGTCTCGCAGGAAGTCGCCAAGGTATGGCCCGACCGCCTCTGCCTGGCCGGGGCTGAGCACGCCGCCAGCACCGGCCGGGCCTGCTCGAGGTGAATGAGTACTGATACGCCCCGCAGGTCGCCGGTGAGCTCACGGTTGACGAGCGCAACCTGTTGTCCGTGGCCTACAAGAACGTGGTCGGCACCCGACGCGCGTCATGGCGCATCATTTCGTCGATCGAGCAGAAGGAGGAGTCCAAGGGCACCGAGAAGCACGTTGGCACCATTCGTGAATACCGCCAGAAGATCGAGACCGAGCTTGAGCAGGTCTGCCAGGATGTGCTCAACGTGCTGGACGACTCGCTCATCCCCAAGGCCGAATCTGGCGAGTCCAAGGTCTTCTACCACAAGATGTGCGTTGCCCCTCCCCTCCCCCCCCGTCGCATGTGCTGCACACGCAACGCAAACTAAAACGCAAACTGACGCCCGCCCACAGGAAGGGAGACTACCACCGCTACCTTGCCGAGTTTGCTTCGGGCGAGAAGCGCAAGGTCGCCGCCACGGCTGCACACGAGGCCTACAAGGTATGACGCAATAATTGCATGCAGCTCACCGGCAAGTCGAACACGAGCTAACCTGAGTCCCCCCCTCCCCCAGACGGCCACGGATGTCGCCCAGACGGAGCTCACACCGACGCACCCCATCCGCCTCGGCCTCGCCCTCAACTTCTCGGTCTTTTACTACGAGATCCTGAACTCGCCCGACCGTGCTTGCCACCTCGCCAAGCAGGCCTTCGATGACGCCATTGCCGAGCTCGACTCGCTCTCTGAGGAGTCGTACCGCGACAGCACGCTCATCATGCAGCTGCTCCGTGACAACCTGACTCTCTGGACGTCGTCGGACGGCAACGAGGGCGAGGGTGCCGCTGCCGACGCACCCAAGGAGGAGACCAAGGCCACCGAGGACGCGGCGGCCGCGTCCGAGGCCAAGACTGAGGAACAGCCACCTGCCGCCCCTGCCCCTGCCGCCTAAGCGCCACTTCCTTCTGCTTCGACCTTGTGTATCCTCAGCCATCGTCATCTGTTTTCGAATAGACGAAGGGGGCCGGTTAGCGAGCGTCCTACGGAGTTGTGCGTGTTCTGTGTGAATTTCAAAAATTGGCTTTGGCAGCAAGCGGTTCGGTACGGTCGTCGAATTCCCCATGACTGAAATGTATTTCCCTTTAAATCTCGTGTATCGCCGGCGCCATCCCATCGAGCACGCAGTGTGTGGTGCAATCCTGCCTCACGGCGGGACGGCAGCACCTTCGGATGCCCCTCTCTGTCTTTGCGAGGGCTTTTGGACTGCTATCGGCGAGACAGGGCTGCGCTCGGTTGCTCGGATGCGACCCTCAATTCCCCCCCATGTTTTCGTTTTGGCAGCCTATAAACACCTCCATCCTATGGCGGACAGAGATGTTTGACGACTCGTTGGTGTGGCCTCGGAGTCAGGACAAGGTTCAATGCGCCTTGCTGAGCAGTACGCAACGCTCTGGCGGGCAAAAAAATGTCACTTATACTGCACTCTTAGCTAGCCTAAGGAATCGTTACTTCAAGATTTTTTTTTCTGCATGCCATGCCGTGATGTCAAGGCTCTAACCACATTTGTCTGTTATGTGTTATACATGGTGTCGATCTGGTGGCTTTGAACGGTCCTTTTCAGGTTTGCCATGAGCCCGGTCCGCAGGCTCGGGCTGCCCCACTACTGGTTATTGGGAAGCCCCGCCCAACTTTTGTCCTGTGTCGCGTCGCATGCAAAGACACGAAGCCAGGCCCTGGAGCAATAATCACCGACTCCAGCCTACAATTTGGTAGAGATGGCCTACACGAAAGACTACTACCGCATTCTCAGCCTCGACAGACCCAGCTGGCGCCCCGCAAAGCAAAGCACGACGACGGCCGACGTGCGACGAGCCTACAAAGCCGCGCTGCTCTCAGCACATCCAGACAAGCAGCAGCAGCAGCAGCAGCGATGCGGCGACGATAATAATGGCAGGACCAAGAGCAAACCCCGATACACGGTCGACGACATTAAAGAAGCATATACGATACTCGCCGACGCCAAGACACGCGCAGACTACGATACTTGGTTCTTGCACAATTACAATGACAATTACAATGACAATTACAATCACAATCACAATCACAATCACAATCGCCGCCAGCGCCATGGCGATACTCTAGGGTGTTGCAGAAGAAATAGTGGCGGCCATGAAGATGATGACGATGACGACGATGCGCACACTTTGTCAAGCGACTTTATCCTCGGTTTGGAAGTACTCGATTTGAGCGAGTTTAGGGTTGTTGAGCAGGATAGAGAGGTGATGGAACATGGTACGTCGATATCGTCAGCGTCAGCGTCTAGTTCCTCGGTGTCAGCATCGGTATCGGCGTCGAATTCAGATTCAGATTCAGAGTCAGAGCCAGAGTCTTTGTCGTCGTTTTTTGCATCGGAGAGAAGAGGAAAGCGAGAAAAAGAAGAGAAGCAGAAACAGCAGCAGCAGCAGACTCGCTGGACGCGCGAGTGTCGCTGCGGCACACACGCCGGATTCAGTATCCTGGAGCAACAACTGGAAGACGCGCTGCAGAGGGGTCGGAATGAGGTCCTGGTCGGATGTCAGGGGTGTAGTTTGTGGGTTCGCGTGGGGTTTGAGGTTGAGGAAGATGTTGAGGAAGATGAGGAAGAGGGGTGAAGGGAGATAGTAGTGCTTCTTCTACTCCTATTTCTACTAGTACCTCTCCTCTTGCCCCCGCCTACCTGCCCTCCTCCTCCTCGAAAGACATTCAACTGGCGCTACCTAGCTATACCACAGTTAGAGGCACTGTTGGAGGGTTTGCGGGGATATGATGCCACTCTCTCCGTTTCTGGATCAGATGCCAGAATCATCGGGCTTTTCCTCTCCTACCACCATTACGTCTACGTCTACGTCTATCTCGACCCCGACTGTCAACATGCAGATCAAGCCGACCGACGCCCATCTCAGGAGGATTCCAGAAGATTCATTGCCCCCTTTGTACATACATACTTACAAGCACACGCAACGCAAAGCCGGTTGCCCGCTATCCCAAGCACCGTATGTGTGTGTTCCTTCCGGTCAGCAAGTCCAACAACAACAACAACAATCCCCCATTGTACACCAGGGGTTTTTTTTATTTTCCATCAGCCTCTCGACATTTCTTCCCCTTTGACGCTCGAGTTTGATCATCAAGCCGACCCATGAATGGATTGATGTATATTATCTTCAGACCATCTGTCTGTCTGTCTGTCTGTCTGTCTGTCTGTCGTGGAAATGCGAAATTGGGAAATTGAGATATTCCTGGAACACACTGGCTACAGATTACTACAACTCTTCCAAAAAAAAAGAAAGAAAACATTTTACATACATACATACCAACATAACCTCCTCCTCCTCCTCCTACTACTACTACTACTACTACTACTACTACTACATACATACATACCACCACCACCACTACCAAGATGCTCCGCAGATCAAAATCCCAAATCTCCCTCGCCACCGCATCTCACGCCACATGCGAATTCGAAAGCAAATACTGCTGCGCGTGTAATCGGCCTGCTCGCCTGCTCGCCTTCGTCAATGCTACGTTGAGGCTTCTGCGCGTCAGGCCGAGACACTACAGGCCGCTTGTCATGTGTGGCTGTGCGTGCCATTGGAATGGTGAGAGGCCGAGGACGTCGTAGTGTGCTTTTGGGGCTTGCGGGTGGATTGGGGACGGGGGTTGGAGGGTTTATTGGGGACTGGGGTTGAAGGATATGGGATTTGTAGGGTAGGGTAGGGTAGGGTAGGGTATGTTTGTTTCACGGTTGAATGGGAAATCAGACAGGTGGTGTTGAATGCGAATTATAAAGCGGGGATTGATATGGTGGGATTGTATCGCCTTTTTGGTTGGATGTGTAGAGGCGATGAATGTGGACTATTTCTTTGCAGATTGTGGGGTTTTTTGGTCTTTGTCGTGATTCTGCTTTTCTCTCATGCCTCCTTCGCAAATCACCTCAGAATTCTTCAGGCCCAGACAACCGTCATGGCGAATACGCACCTCCACTTTCTACTCACCATACATAGCACTCACCAGATGTGAATACGCAAACGCACAACGCCGCTCGCCAAACGGGCCGCCTCACATTCACTTCATGGTCAATACACAATATCTCAACCTTACCTAGCATATAATCTTTTCGTCTTTTTTCCCACTCTCACCTCTACAGCTGAACATTTCCATTACTTCTTGAACGGCTCATCGCCACATCCAACATGTCTCCACCGTCCTCATTCTACAGCACCGACTCGGGCAACCCACCCCATCCACAGCCCACCCTCGTTCGACCCGAGAGAAGCGACTCTCTCCCACAGAAATATGGCCAGCTTCCAGTCATGAATCTCCCGAATATCATGCTCAGCGTGGCCGAAGCGCCCACGGACAATGGCGAGAGCCAGCAATCGCAAGCCGAGTCTGAGTCTGCGGAGCAGCAGAGGTATGCGGCTCTCATGCACTCAATGGATATGATGGAGGGAAGCTACAAGTACGCTGGATTGGGGCTGACGCGCAGAATTCCCGGTAGTGTTGCGCGGGGACGCGCTCTTGCGGCTCGTCGCTTGCGCTCTAGCAAGACGCTACCTTTGTCGCTGCGAGCATGCTACAACGAGACGTCTAGTCCTCCTCCTCCTCCTCCTCATGACGACAATCCCCCGGCTCCAATTGGAAAATGGCACTGCTGCAAGTGTAATTGTAGTCATCAAGTCTACGCCTATCCGCCCGACAACCAGCATCCCATCAGCGTGCTAGCCTGCGAGTGCACGCACAGTTCCTGTGCTAAATGCACGCTCTCGGGACAATTGAAGGCGTTTGTACCCATGGTCGAGCCCGAAGTCGTGCCTTTGACTGAAGACGGGGCGAACACGATTCGCTTCGGCGTCGTGTGTGACGGCTGCGGCGTGTCGTTGCGGGCGGAAAAAGTAGACGGTAGCAGCAGCAACAGCAGTACTACTTTGACTGCAAAAGAAGCCGTAAAGTCCGCGCTCCTCCTCGCACTTCCCAAACGGCTTCGCCGCAGCGAACCCCAGCACGCGTTGCCGCTGAGAAATCTGCGTGCCTCGCGCTCCATGGACAGTCTTCTCGCCGCCTCCCACGCCACTCTTCTCCCCTCCCACGGCGTCCCCAAAACTTCCATTTCAGCACTCAACCTGCGCGCTCTCGCGCTCTCGATGCAAAAAGCACACGGTGCGCAAGCCGCGCTCGTCGCCGTCCGCTTCTCGGGCCGGCCCTGCACGAATTGCGGGCTGCAGACGCACAACGCCGCGTCGCTGTGCTTCCAGATTGTGGATCCGCCTCGCGATTTGTATCATGTGAGGTTTGCGGCGTTGATGGCGGAGCGCCGCGTGGATGGCGACGTGGGGTTTGGCAGTTTGGAGAGGGATAAGGAGAGGGGACATGGTGAGGAGAGTGTGGTGTTGATGGGTGGGAGGGTTGTGCATCCAAATCCCGTGAGGTGTCATCCTGTTGGGTAGGTGTGGGAATTTGGGATCAGAGGGGAGGGAAGGGAGGGAGAAAGAAAGAGAGTGTGGATGCATGTATGGGCGTTGCGTGGGCCTTTAGTTTTAAGTCACTGTTTGGATTCGTTCGCCGTCTTGAACACGCGTATGTCAGAGCACGGAGAAAAAGGTGGCACTGCCGACTACCGAGTGCCAACTGCCAACTGCCGACTTGATATTTTGTACCAGTCACGAGTTTGAATAACGAAGTGTATAGTGTTGATTAGGGTTTAGAGAGGTTCTCATGATCGTCCTCGCTGGGTGAATACACAATTTACCTCTACTACTGTACGACTATAACTTGGTACTTTGATACAACAAACGATGAACTAGCTACATAATCCTCTTCTCCTTTATATATAACTTACTCTATCTAGCCATAACCTTTTATATACTAATTTAGAGCTTTTTCTTTTAGCATTTTTATCTAACAATTTAATATTAATAATGAGTATAAAAAGCTGATTTTTACTAGTTATAGTAAAAAGTAATAGCAACTTAGTTTATTCTTCGCTATAGTAAATTATACACATACAAGGAAGGTGAATAGTTATATAGATATAAAATTCTATTAAAATTCATTCTTCTACGTATAATATATATTGATATTGTTCTATCTATATCTATACTTTACTTTAGTTAGTTTTACTGCTATAATCGTACAAGTAGTTAGAAAAATATATAATTCAAGAAAGGGATATTCTTTTAATTTAAAAAAGCTCCTATAGAGGAAAATAGCAAATAGAAAACTAGTTTGGGTAATCTTTGTATTAGATTACTACTAAAGAAAAGTACTTAAGTAGGTTAGCTATATATACTATAGGCTCTAGGGCTAGTTCTAGTATAGTTACTTATATAATATATAAAATAATTACTAAAGGCGCTTAGTAAAGCTTTATATAGGTGCCTAGTATACCTTTTATATAGGCTACTCTACTATAAAAACTTATAGTAGTAAGTTTTATAGTATAGTAGATTCTATAATACTAGCGCCTATATATAGGCTTAGTGTTAGTTACTACTTATAATTATCAAGCTATTACGCCTTGATTTTCAGCTTTTTAACTATACTACTATAGCTTATTTTATAAGTTATTTTAATTTTTTTTTAAGTACTAAGAGCTTATTTTAGCTTTTATTAGTGGTTATATATTGTTATGGGCGAGAGAGGCCTAACTAACGAGTATGCATTCACCTATTGTACAGAAGAAGAAAGATACAGAAAAGAACTATCTAGAGGGCCCTCCTTTTATAGTTGTTACTCGTACGAACGCTCAGACCTTTAGTTTTCCTCCTTACTTAAGCTTGTTCGTACGTAACGAACCACGTCATTTAGTCACGTGACTAAAGTCATGTGATTCACTGCC